AATCTCAGAACAATCTCAGTACTGAGAGAGTGAATAACTCATGGAAATGAAGTGTGAACTTTGTAGGCATGTAAGCAAAGAGATTACAGTAGACTCAAGAGGATGATTTACTTGAATTAAATATAAAATTAAAAAATGCACAGCTTTATCCTATTGACTCCCATTTCTGAGAATACATTTCCTTCCATCTGTTGTTCATATTGTACCCAAGAATGAAGAGACCTTGATCCCAAAAGCCCAAAGCTCAAACAAAATGCAGAGACAAGACCTTTGACATAGTTCCCCAATAAAAAATGAGCTTTTTAAAAGTTACTCGGTTCTTTAAAAGACCAAGGCCCAGGCAAGGGTGTCTCCATTGTGTAGACCTAGAGCAGTCGAAGGAAGACCACCCACTGGATGCAAGGTGTGATTATTTGTCTATAGTAAACTCGCGGCGTAACACGAATACTATTGTTTGAATTCTGGCATCAGACAAGAAGTTGCTTGGACTTCATGAATGAATGTCTCTTGGGAGATCAAGGATCTGTGTACCAAGTTTATTGTTGGAAATACGCTTGTGTCACGGGCAGTTATCAGTTACATATGCAGTCAGTCGTGACCACAGATGTATGAGAAATGTTTAGTCATCATATGATCCAGTTTCTAGTTGATATTCAAGGCATTTTAAGGTGTCTCTTTCATTTTCATTTGGGTTTCAGGCCCTATTTTGGATTTTAAAATTCTAGCAGATGTTTCTTTACAACACTTTACCATCTGTTCTTTTTGTCTTCTTCCCAGAAAACCATTTTGCTCATGACAGTCATCAGATGTTTCTTTATTTGTATCACCTCAGTTAAGTTGCATCACCAGGACTGGGATTTCATAGCTACTTCATTGCCATTTCCAGTGTACTTATTAAACTCTCAACCGTTTAAACTATAAAAGACCATATGAGCTCATTTGCATAACATATTAACGTAGATTTATTTAGATTATTTTCATAGTATACTCTTAAAAACAAAGGTGCCAAAGAGGGCTCTTTGGTGCAGTGCCATAGAAGAACCATATTCGCTTCCATATGGTTCCATATAGGTGTGAGTTATTCTTAAGTTGTAAGAGTGAAGAATGAAAGCCCGGACAGAGCCTTTTGTTTTAAGAGTGTAGTTGCTGAATTATCAGTTTAAAGAATAATAACTAAATAAGCCAAGGATTCAAGGAGTCGAGGATGTCCAGGAGCTACCAGCAAGTCCATGCTTCCATTCCTCACTCCTATAAGTTGAGATTCAGTTTGGACTGTTTTCCATGCAGTTACTCAATAATAAGGCTTAGGATATTAATTGTAAAAAGGTAAGACTCTTGGTACAGAGCAAAGGGACTTGCCATGTGCTATTTTGCAAAGTTCCTCCACATACAGTGAGTCTCACTGAGGCAGAACAGGGGGAAGTGGCTGACGTGCAGTGCAGTAAGGCCAGTGATGGCCGTTAAGCCCAGCATTAGTGCAACAAAAGACCCAGTGAATGAGATCAGTTATCCAGGTACGTGCAGGAGTCCACTAGCTCAGCCCAGTCCAGCCCACAGAGCTCACAGCTACTGAGCATGCATTAGACTGACTGGCTCGGACACAGTCATGAATAAGCCCAATGGACGTTTGGCTGTGATCAGCTCTGCGGTAAGAATCCAAGTAGTCTCAAAAAGTGTTTGGGCACCCCTGTTCAAATTACATGTAGATTTTCTAAGTGAAAATAAGTTAACACATCCTCTACATACACACAATTATTGTTTATGGACTGAATTTAACAAACTAGAAAAAAATAAATGTGGCCTTTGCAAGGGTTACGGTACATTTTACAGCATTATTTATTTCCAGTATGTTAAAGAGCCCATATCCTATTTTTTTCTTGTATTTAATATATTTCCTTGAGGTCCATTTATGATGTCTGTGTTTTGATTTAGGTTTTTACATGGCCATATCCCTGAAAATTAAACAGGCTGTTTTTGTCAATGTACCTTTAAGACTGATACACATAAATTAGCTCTATTCTGATTGGCTACCCTATATTGTGCCTCATCCAAAAAGCAGTCCAGGCTGAAACACTCCTCATAACTTCAGTGTGAATGGGTGGGACTCGACTGCTGTATATATATATGCAAATGCACTGGTTTTCATGACATCACAGAAACAATGAATTCAAAACTAGCTTAGTTACTATATATGGACTTTATGGATTGAAAAATGAACAATATGTTTCTAAAAATTTAAAACTGCTCACAACCCACATCAAAACTCTACAAAATGTGGGTAATTTTTTTTTCTGTGATATGGGCCCTTTAAACCCTGCACATCAGTAGAAATTGTACACTACAATTTACAATTTTGACACTTTAAGTGTGTTCGCTGTAAAGGATGTGTTACTTATTTTCACTTAGAGGACATGTCATTTGACCAGGATTGTTCCATCTTCTGTACATGACTGCATGATCAAGGGTGTTCATGTTGTTGACATTGCATTTAAAGAGGTTAATATTCAGCCACACTGTTGGTTCCCATTATAACGCATTATATAGCATGAAATAATGTAATCATGATGGCATTGTGCTCTATAGTTCATCTCTGTCGCCCAGAATATGAGTTATGGCTCAGAATGCCAGATTACGTAAAGACTTTATTTATTTCATTACTGAAGAATCTTGTCAATGCTGTCTAGACAAACTTAAGACTGCAATTTTCCATTCAGGAGTGTGGGATGGACCATCCATTTAATTCAAAGCACAGGGTTCCAACGAACTCATTGAATTAATAATATTTTTCACAAGTGCTGGGTGAACAAGCCATTGCATGAAAATGATATGCAGATTATTTGGCAGATTTCCACAATTGATTCATGTTTTTTTCCAGACAACAGAGCTAAACATTTGGCCCTTGGATTCGTATTTTTATTTAGCTCACAATGGCACCCAACTTCAGAAACACGGATCAGCTATTGTTGCACAAATGTTTGTTGTTGTTTTCATTGGGGTTTCAAAGCAAATTCACAGAAACACAAAAGAGACCTGGCTTGATGTCTTTCGATCACTGTGCGATTGTGCCGCTCTTTCCTGCACCTCTCTTTGCCCGTGCGGTAAACGGATGCTGTAGCATCTCAGAAAAAGGGGTATGTGCCGTAATAAGTGCGAGTCATTTTCCTCTTCTCTCCCTTCATGCTCTGACACAAACTGAAAATTGCAGTGGGATCTTGTGAGACAGAACCAGACAGAGGCCTGTGGCTGTGGTGTCGTAGACAGACCTGCAGTTCAGTTTAACCTATTAAAATTCCATATATTGTGTTTTTCTTCAATTTATTATTCCTCTGTAGTCCACTTGGGTTTTATCCACTATAAGCCATCTGATATACAGTAGGTGAAATGATCTCTGACTGACTGTTCTGCATTCTTTATAATTGCTAACTGAAATGGGTTGAATAGGTGAATATATTTGTGAAATATATGCACTGGTTTTTGTGATGTCACAAAACTCAAAATGGGCTGTTTGGCCAGCTTAATTTCCATCTATGGACTCAGGATGGTAATTACACATTTTGAGACTTACTTACTACATCAAATTTGTTAGTAAAAAATGCAAGGAAAATTTATTTTTCCATGATAGGGGGCCTATAACATTCACAAACCTGCTGATAGGTCCAGACATCATTTGACGCTCCTATAGCTTATTAATGAGCCTTACTATGCTTACTATACTACTATAACTTACATAATAAGCCTTAGTATCCATGATATTTATGTAGCTATTGGGCTGGCAGATGCTAATGTCAGTAGAATTTGATGCTTTCAGAAATGGAGCTGGATAATCTTGTAGTTCTTTTTGTCTTTACAGAGAAATTCAGGGAGCACAGACCAGTTTCCAATTAACTACAACTGTAATGTACAGAAATCTGCTTTGACTTAAAATAAATGATTGCTCCTTCAACATCTAAAGTGTTTTGAACATGAGGTTAAAAACACTTTGTTTTCAAAACATCTCCTTCCAAAGTTGTCAGGACAGTCGTCAAGGCAAACCCCATCAATACCAACTGGTAGGAGCTGATAACAGACCCAAGACACATAGTGGACACTACCAGCAGAATTCAATGTGCATGTTTGGAGACCAAATGTAAGCCAATGTATTCTTCTTATATTTTTAACAGTCTTATTAAAAAAAAAGAAAGAGCAAAAGACACCAATGTTGATAGCACGAGCTGTTAATGTTACTCATACTGATTAATTTCCCAAAAATAAACTACACTGTAAGATACATGTGATATCCTTTCACTCACCTCCACCCACGTTTATTTGTTTTTCTCTGCAATTGTTCTTGTTATTTCAAAGGGCCAGACGAGCCCATTCTTTGTGCTTATGACAAGTTTGTCTTTATTCCTCTTTCATTTGGGCTGTTCAGATGTCTTCCTCATGATTATTTTCTTTCTCTTTTTTTACTCTCACGTACACACTCTCCCACAGACTCAAACAAAAGAAAGACCAATTCTGGATTATTTTCTAAAAAATTATTTGTTTTTACAACCCCTGTCCAGTGTACATTTGTGAGAAAATTCAGTATTGAGCCTGGGCACTAAACTGAACTGGGCCTGTCAGTTTTGGATGGTTATTCAAGATTAAAAGTTTTATACTATTGTTATTATATTATACTAATATAACGTGTAAGTGTTGCACTTTTTTCACCCAGACCTATCAACACAGAGCTCACATCAGAGCAGATGGCTTATTAATAGTCTATTACTATATTATTAGACTATAATGGTCATTGGTAGTTCTACTGTTGTGGGCGTGTCCTGCTTTTGTTTTTCATTTCTGTTGGGCTACAGGAAAACTGGATAACTAAGTCTTTAATGGGGTTATCTGCGTTCTTTGTGTTGCAGAAAGTGCCGAGAAGTCTCTGGTGTGAATAGTCTGGAACCAATCGCTGCTGTCTGGTAGTCCAGCCTCCAAACACACCTCCGGGTGCGGGCGGAGTCTGTTCGTTGCGTCACCAATACGAAAAAATATAATCACCGGCGAGGCGGCCAAGTAGCAAAATTTCGGCCTGAAACTGCGACGGGTAAAAGCGAAGTGAAGTCCGGAGCCAGGACAAAAAGAAGAAGAGAAAGCGGGAAGAAGAAAGAAGAAAAAAATTAAGGCGGTTTTCGTGTCATTAAGATTGTGAGACGAGGATTCAGCAGAGAAGTTGTCTGAGGGCATTTAGACAAGTTTAGTGTAGGTTAGTTTTCTGGTCCAGCTCGAGTTTGTGCTCTGGAAGCACAGCAGTAGCCAGCGGCTTTTTTTAATTTGAACTTTTAAATCCACGTTAAACCCGGAGTGTGAGGAGGACCGGCGGGGAGAAGAGGTGACATTTCCTCAGTTGCGAAGCAGACGTCAGCCCGAGCGCGTGCCTACCCGAGTGTACACACTCCACGATGGAGGGAGACAAGGTCAGTTAACCGCTAGCGCTAGCTAGTTTTTAACTAGTAATTACCCATTAATAACACAAGTCAGTGGGATATCTAGGCGAAAATGAGCCTATGGGGGCGGAGGAGGGCCGTTTCGACTCCCCCTTTTTGTGCAATGTATGTGCTGGAACTTAAGAGTGAAAACTTTGTGAGAGAAAAGAAGAGAATGCTAGCCATCTGAATTAGCTAGTAAGCTAGCTAATTTAGTTTAACTAACTAGGCAGGTGTTTCGAAGCTGATAGGGTTTGCTAGCTAGTTATCTGAATTTCACAGAAAACTTCTCTCTTAAATTTATTTCAGCTTAATACAAATAAAATAACTTTTGCCTTTAAAAGGCGTCCAGCGGCAACCTGCGACACTGAAGGGAATGTGAGAGAGCCGGTTGAACCGGTGATATTGTCACCCACTTTCATCATCCTCATCATCATGACCAGCACGACTGTCACCTCAACAGGTGTCAGCTGATCATCTCAGCTAATACTGTTAATATTTAGAAAATATTTAGCATGTCTTCATTATTTGATGTTAAAGTGAAGGCTCACTTCGAATTTGATTACGTCAGACCGGTTGAGCTGAGGCGTTGCACGTACTACACGACTCCCTGTTATTTGGAGGGGTCGTGACTGCATCCCTGTGATGAACCCCAAAAATTCGTCAGCTAGCTTACTTAGATCCTACAAAATGTCCCGGTACAGACGATGGCTGTTTTTTTCTATTAATCAATGTATCTGCTAGCTGCGCTGAGCGCGTTTAAAGCATCCTGCTTTGGTTTTAACTAAACCAAAAAAAAAACAATAGTAAAGTGTCTGTAGATGCATGTATTGGAGTTCCCATTGATTTGTTTCTCCAAAGTGTAAATGGTTTGTAAATTAAACTACTACTAGATTAATGTCATTAATTAGGTTTAACATAACCAGAAAGTTGCTCATTTAAACCACTTATATGGAGTAGTTACCAAAATGTTTCATTACATTTGCCAGCTAGGTTTAATCATAAAATCATTAAATCATACATTGTGGTGTAAGCATGCCATAAATAGTCGTAGGATCATCTTGTTAGGACAGGACCAAGCTATATTATGACTACATCCAGCCCAATACAAATCAACTAGAAATAATTCTAAAGGCCTGTTCACAAACATTTATTGTTTTAATTGTATTTTTAGTTATAATGCAGTTATAACTACGTCCAGCCTAATGTAAATCAGCTAGAAATAATTGTAAAAATTTTAAATTTTCATGAATATTTGTTGTTTTAATTGCAGTTCAGTGCATATTAAACAAGCCTGTAACGATGGCCAAACATGCAAACACATAGTCAATAGGCCCTGGATGGACAAAAGGATGGACAGAATTACCATAACCTGAGAGGCTCATACGTGACTAGTAGTCTCTTTGGTATGGCTAACCTCACCACAGTGATGACGGTGTAGTTGGTAGTTTCCTGCCTAGCAAAATTACTGGCTCTTCTCAGGCCTAGAATACAGTTTCAAATTCAGTTTCTGAGTAGAAGTAGTGGAGGAAGACAATGATACAGAGACTTTTGGGACCATTTGTGGGAAATTAAAACCGTCTTTAGCCATTTTGGAATTAGCTCAAGCTCACGGGGTTGTGTTGCTTTGATGAGAATATTTTTGAAATTGAAATATCTTCTCCTTCAGTTGTTGTCTTAGATCTAGATCACAAATATAGCTCTGTATATGTGGCCTTGCTACAACACAGATCTTGATAAGGGTCTTAATTGTGGAGGTGATGGGAAAGGTCTGAATTATCCTTAGGGAGGACAGCAGCACAGCTGACCATTTCAGGCAGGGGAATACAAGACAGCCGCTCGAGTCACGGACGTGCTCTCTTCCCATCAGGCCAGTGTTGTGCCTCTGTTTGAAGCTGTCACTGAGTCGTAAACACATGCACCCGCAATAGCTTAATACCTCCAAAACGTGCACACATGTTCCTGGTGCTTGTAAGACCCTCGTGCTAGCGCTTTTCATACCGAGTTGCCTCCTGATCCCCCTGATGTTCATGTGAGGAGAGGTCGGGGGGAGGGCTTGGTTGGGGAGCAGTAGTCTTTGTGCTGGACAGGGCATTCAGTCCCGGACATAATAGTGACTGAAAAGATGCACAGGACACACTGCAAGTGTATACATTGTGGAACATGGACTGTTACCTTTGACTGAGGGGGATTGTTTGTTTTTTTTAGGTATAGACAGCTTTCTCTATATGTGTAAATGTTTTCTAAACTTTATTTTTAATCTTTACCAACCAATTTAATCTTTACCAAACAAGTCTGACTGTGGGCAAAACACATTGAGGCGGTGGTTAAAACTCTTACTCCTCACTGCAGGGTTTATACCAGAGTACAGCTGGAGTCCCTTTGTTTGAGTGCAAGGGTGAAATCAAGTAATTGGGGTTAGGTGTACAGTTGACCTGCTCTTTGACAAGCTGAATTAACAAATTTTCGGCAGAAATCCAAAAAATAAAAAAGAAAACGATGGAACTGACAGTCAGAAATTTTGATTAAGCTGAAAGCCAGCTTTTTCCCTGCTTCCCTTCCAAAGACTTAATTCCCCTTTGCTCCTGAAGTCGCTTCAGTTCTTTTCCATTTCACTCATGCATGACTGCGCCTCGAGTATGCGCTCCATTGTTGCTGTCACCTCCTCCTAATGAGTGCTAATGAGGAGAACGGGATTAAGCAGAGTTTGATGAAATCTGAAGTGGCACTACAGTAATTCATTTCCTTGAGAAAGTGGACAGGGAACTGTACTTGTGTAATTGTGTTCATGAAAGGCAGACTTTTGTTCCAGGAAGCCAGAAGAGTCCAGGCGGGTGCTGCTGTAGGCTCACATGTCCTCTATGACAGGATGGAAAGGGACTGGGTTCCAGAACTAGGACAGCAAGTAGTACAAACCGGTTACTGTCTGTGGTGCAGTCACGATGCGCTCTCAGGTTGCCGTGTGAAACTGAAGGGAGATGAGGTTAGAGAAGGAGGACGTGCCTACTGTGGTGTCTCACTAACCAAGCGCCAGAGAGGGCGGGAGAGAGTGAGGAAGGGAAGAGAGAGCGATGCCAGGCCATTTTGCCTTAGCGGTGTGGCAGCTTCCGCATTCTGAAAGCTTATGGCAAACTTTTTATGACCTTGTTTAAAACGGCAACATAAAATGCCATAAAGTTTTAAGTTTAACAAACTTCAAAAATTAAGTCAATGGCACTTTTTTGTGTTAACCTATAGGAGAAGTGGAATTAACTTGTGTTTAACTTTTTTAGTTAAAACAGTATTTTGCAAAGTGTTGCATTGAATTTACATGATTCAAACGTAGGTTCCAGAATAATAAAATACATTACATCAGTGTAATTCTTACCAAAAGTAAATAAAATGAACAAATTGTTTTGCAATACATTTCATTTGGTAGGAACCAGTGTACATATTAGAATGAAGTGAATTCAAAGCAATATTTTTTTTCAGTGAACCAGTCTACTTTTGTTGCACGTTCATTCACTCTGTTTGAATTACATCTTAAATAACTTCCACAAATTATAATGGTCTACATATATCATGTAGTGTGAACTATGACAGTTACATTTGTGTCATCGTTTACATACACATTTTTAACAATGACTAACATGGACGTTATTGTAACTTTACATTGTAAGTTTCAGTTTTATTTTGTCTGGCTTGTAACTACAGTGTGTGACCTGAGTAGACCTATTTCTCTGGAAGTGTGAATGATAGAGCTGTTGAAATAGGAAGTAATTCACTCTCTGTGGTGTTTTGTGTCTGTGGTCAGTTGTGTAATACACTTTGCCGTGCTCTGAATCAGAGCATTGATGTATTCTATGTTAAATAAATTTAGACCAAATTTAGATCAAATTTACAGTCGGTCCACTGAAAAAAAACGGTGATTTGAGTTGACGTGATTCAGTTAATTATGTCAAGTGGTTGCGCATAAATAAGATGTATTACATGAACACAATAAACAACTGAACGTAAGGAAAGCAATTGTGTTGATGTAATTTTTTTGTATGCGACCACTGTACACAATAAAATCATGATTTTTTTTAGTCGCGTTTATAATTTTGGAATGTAGTGTGAATTATAATCTTACTTTTGTCCTTGCATACCTTCTCCAGGTAGGCCTCCTTTTTTCCACACCCACTTTTTAAAGAACAGGTTTGTGTTCCTCTCTCAGCGTCAGTGCTTGTTCCTTATTGCATCTGCTCTGTATACAAGCATCAAGTGCTGGGAGTTGGCTGCATCACGTGGCCTAGTCAAAGTAAACAAAAGTTGGAGTAAGGACGTAATCGGAGCGAGGTGGCCTGATCGCAGTGGAACTTGTGTTTACTCAACAATGAACAGGGACACTTAAACCTGAAGAGCTTCATTTTTGCCAGTGTGGCATGCAGTTAACTTGACTAATGTCATCAACATGTTATACCACCAAAGCTTTTAGTCTGAGTGTGGTTATGGTCACTTTATCTTCATGCTGGTTGTTAAAATGAACACACAGACACATGCTCTTACACAAACATGCACATAAGCTCAACTCACAGACCACATACATCTCGAGAATGACGTAAACATTCCAATTTTCCGTCCCAGAGGCAGTGAAATATGAGATATCGCTCATTCAGAGGGAGGATGTTTACAGGATTAGCCTAAACAAAGTGTGAAAAGTGTTAAAAGTTTCACATCACTCTGACTCAGCCAAACTCCTAGAAGCCTGCGCCTCTTCTCATAATGGGAGGGGCTTATTTGCATTCTGGTTTGAACCTGGTAGTTTGAACTGCCGTGTGAGGACATGCCTTTTAGAGTGAAGGAATACGACGTCTCTTCAATTTCACCCTCAGAAAACTGTCTTGTCAAAGGGAGACCATGATGAAATATGAATGCTGTAATAGATTAGGTGTGTATTATATTCAGACAATAACAAATACATGTACAAGTTTAGTAGTAATAGTTTGGACATTGCTATTGGAACATTTTATACTATGATCTTTGCTACTGTTTGAGGAAGCAAACGGAACGGATAAAACAGCAAATGGCATGGCCTCATTTTCCTCCAGCCTTTCCAGGAGTTTGAACCATTGTCTACTGTAAACTAACATCCTGATTTATACTGAAAGAGAGTCTCCCTGCCAGTGTGTGGCATTATCAGCTGAGGGGTGTGAGAATTTACACTAACAACCACTCCATCCACACAGTAGGGGAGAGCGAGAAAATAAAAGAGATAGAAAGAGACAAGCATTTGTCCCCTGCTGAGATGTGGAGTGTTGGAGCATATGTTATGGCACTGATATCCCATCCCCCACATGTGCTCTGTACACTTAGAATGGAATTTATATGTGCGTGTTATGCACAATACGTGCGCCGTGAGTACCTGTGTCTCCACATTTGTTAGTCTGGAGCTGTTGAGGCTTGCAGGGGCCACGGGTGGGGTTTTACCTCGTGTGTTCTGTGCTCCTTCTTCAGCTGGGTGTTTGTAATGGCGTTTGTGACCATGTGCGCTTCCGTGTCTGTGTGTGTACTGATTTTTCTCTTCGCGGGAGATGGCCTTTTAATGTTCTGGATTGTTGTGAGGATGCCTTGTTAATGCAGGCTTAAAGCATGAATGTGACCGAGAGGCATTTCATAGAGGAACGTGAACACGTCCCTCTTTCGCAAGAAGAGAACTGAAGTCTCCATATTTAGAATTCTCAAAGCCCAGATCTCTCTTAAAGAGACACGCACCTACTCTGGAGCTTCTACTTCCAACAATGGTGTATTGCTCAGCAATGGAGCTGCTGTTGTGAGAATAGGAAGGATGTAGTTAAGTTTTAAGGGAAGTTGGCTTAGCTATCGTTTTTGTGTTTGTTCATGTTTCAGATGCCACATAGAGGATGTTCCTAATCCAGACTTACATTATTAACCCCTTAAATGTCCAGGACAGAGTTATAGAGGTGTGTAGCAGGTTCAGACCTCTGTAACATAAGAACAATCTAGTTCCGTTTATTGTTCTTGTGTTTCACACAACAAAACCTGCAGTCCATGTAGTTGCTGAGTAATTTATCTAAGGATGTTGTAAGTCTGAGATTTTAAAGGACAATTCCAACGATCTTTAAAAATTTCTAAAAACTTGACTCATCGAGATGAAAACAGATTATGTCATAGCAGTTTAATGTGAAATGTTGCATTGTAGAGAAATCGGATTTCATGCAATAACTTTCTTGTGAGGTATCTTTTAGAGGCAGTTAACATCGGGCATTTCACATCAAACCACTCCAAATTACTTTGTTTAAAGCCTAACAATTTAATTATAGAGGAATTTTGGGAAAATTGGTGTAATTCCCTTTTAAGGGACAAGTATGCCCACGCAATGTAATTAGCTGAAGGTGGCAAAACTTTATAGATAGTTTTTCTTTTCTGGTGCTTGACTCAAATGAAAGAAGGTGCCTTTAAGACTTTGCCCACAGAGCCTCTTAGAGCTTTGTGTGTAAGTGTGTGCATGTGTGTGGTCACATCCTGTATTAGAGCTGGTTAAACAAACCAGTACTGGACTCGCTGACCTCCAGCAGCTCTTTAAACATGGAGTCTTATTGGCTGACAGCCAGAAAAATGGGCGTATATAGTTCCCGTATTCTTCTCTTTCACCACTAAATTCACCGGCTAAATTCTGCGAGTGTTGCGTCTGTGGTTCGGTGTGTAAGTGTGAAGGAGTGGCGTCCATGTGTGAAGTGAGATCTATGACTGCTTTAAACACACATTGACTTCTTCCAAAACATAACCTCACTCTCTACGTAGAGACTAAATGTTAAGGAAAAGTGTACTGGCTGCTCTGTTTACGATCTCACTGATATACACACAGCACCCCAGCTACAGCACAGAATGCCTTTTAACCCTTTATACACTCTGGATCTGCTTGTGGGTCCAAGCTTCCATTCCTCAATTCCAACAACATAGTAACTCAGTCAGTTTTTCTTGTGTTCCATGTAATTGCTAAGTACTAAGCCTAAAGATTAAATAGGCTTGGGAACTGGAAGTAGCTCTTCGTAAAATTGAGTGTCGTTTTTCTCGGGCCACTGAAGAATGTGGTTGAACCTGCTTGTGTAAGAGATAATATGGATGCTATTAAGGTATCTTCTGTGCAAATAAATCACTAACACAAAGGTTTAGCGATGCCTTTCTTTTGTGAAGCTTTTCATTAGCTTTTAATTCAGTTTGTGTAATATTTATAATCCTAAGCAAAATGTTGTGTGAACTTGCAAATCATCAGATCTCTACACCTGATCATATCAAGGTGAATTTGAGGCCATCAGCATATTGTAACATTGCTGCAAGTTCAGTCAGTAAACAATGGAAAACTACTACATTCTGGCCCCACCTAGACTGCTAATCAAACATCAGTTGTATGAAGCCATTGTTATATATGTGTGATAGTATCTAAAGTCAAAGCCTTTTTTGTTTCAAATGAACACTGAGATTTTAGTCAGTGTTCAGAAATCTAGAATACGCTGAAAAGAACTCTTTAGATAACAAATACTTTAGTCGTGGACTAAATTACACTGTCATTTGAGATTCTCCAGTGAAAATGTAGTGCCAGGAAAACTGGCCCCTTGGGTCTGGATTTTTTTAGTCTGTTTTTGCAGTACAGGTTTAGGGACCGTGCTTTGTGATTCAGCATTTGGTGTGGTTTGTTAGCTTCATGGCATGTGGAAAAAGATGTCTGCCCAGGCTCTCCTATGGGATTACACCAATGAAGTGTTCTTCATAATAACAGGAACTTGGACAATGATTGTGCAGCTCAGACGCAATCACCCAATCCCCCCCACCCTCGTGGAATGTGAGCAGTGAGGATGAAACATATTCCAAGTAACACCTCAACTACTAATGGAGAATCTAAAATCCATCTGTCCTACTGACCGGCTGCATGATCTTCTCTCTAAAGAGCTAATCTAATTTGTTCAAAGTGTCATAGCTATTAATTAGCTTAACACCAACATTGATAGATGCATTACTGTGTTACCCAAGGCTTTTTTTTTTTTAAATCAAAAGCAAATAACAAGTAGTTTAAAGTATCATCTTATAGCTAGTCTATAAATACAGCTATCATAGAGCAAAATATGAAAAACCACAATAGTTATCCATTACATGATGTACATTAGGCTGGGGAAAATCACAAAACATGTTTGAAAACTTCTTTGGATGGATGCCTCACAGCTAAACTGGGCTGGGTTGTGAGCTGTCTGTTTTTTAAGTCATGATCAGCCATGAGAAATAGAGTCAGACAGAGAGAACAGTTGTGCAATGAGGGACTGCTTGAGTTTCTTTTCTACTGTCCTCAACTTGTACAATCAATATGTCCCTATTCACCTTTAGCATTTGGCCAGTAACAGACTATTGGGTGTAATATATTTCATCCATCTTAACATGCTTGTGCAAGTACTAGCAGGTCTAGACCAGAACGCGCTGGCCTGATACTTGTTTTTGTTTAGATGTGGAATGAGGAAGAGTCTGTGGGGACAGCTCTACCAGCATTTCCTTAACCTTTTTTGGATCAGTGCTCTTTTTGCGCTGTTAGATAAAGATCAGAATTCATATTCTTGATCTGCTTGATCAATTGAGGAACCATGTCTGTGGATTATCATACAAAGCCTTTCTTCAGAAGACAAAATTAAAGCGTTTTGGATGCTGCAACTGTACCGGATTTCCTGTTTGGCAGCCTCTATTTTCAGTCTTCACTGTTTAGAGCCCTTTAGTGTGAAACTGAGGAAGAAATGGTGTCCTTATATGGCTCTAATGAAATAGTGGAAAGTCTGAGCTTGTTATCACACACTCCCCTACAGACAAATTCATTTTCAGGTGTAGATTCGGCTGTTAAATCTGAGAAATGGAGCCCTTGGAGGCAGAGAGAGAGAGAGAGAGAGAGAGAGAAAGAGAGAGAGAGTGGGTCTGCTTCAAAGCATTCTGTTGTGTTCCATTGAAGGGGGCATTTTGAGATGAAATATTTCATGTCTTCATATTTCAGTCACCTCCACCTCTGTCAGCTACTTTGCATTACTCTCAGTAAAGTGAATGTGAATTGTATATAGAGTTGTGACGGTTGCATTGCGCAGTGATAAAACTGCTTTTCTTTTTTTTTTGTCTGTCTGCAGAAGGTGACCTTCCAGCTGATGCTGGCTGTGGGAACGGCTGTGATCGGCTCTCTTCAGTTCGGCTATAACACAGGTGTCATCAATGCACCTCAGAAGGTGAGTATACACACACACATACACAGACTCGTACATGCACACAGTCACATGAAGCTGACCCCCCAAAAGAGAGTCATGCAGAGAGACTAGAGGCTAATTTTAGAATTTAGCTTCTATGCCAGCACTGACTCTGAGAACATCTAAGATCATGTGAGATTATGTGGACATAAGATTACATGTCCAGCCTCTGGAGGTGTCACATAGTGGGCATGTGTGGATTGACCCTCCAGACAACCACACATACTCAATTATAGAAAGCAGCACACATATTGAAGTATTCTTTAGAGGCCATTTGTTTTTTCTTCAGAGGATGAGTCTTCTACAGAAGTGTCAGTTTACTCAGCTCAGGCGAGCTAGGACTGTATGAATCTGGTGTTAAACATTTATTAGTGCCTGCCAAACCCTGCAAACGAAATTTATAGCCATCAAGAGCTGTAAGAGCTCTAAGGAACAGGTTTATCAAACCACTTGCTGACTGGAGCATGACAAATTGCCTGAATCAACCTTCTGGCACCCTTCCTGATCAATGACCTCCTTGTCCTTTTGGTCAAACTGCTCCCCTTCCTGTGCCTTGCTCAACATATCAATCAAACTCTCATATCTCAGAGTTAGTAGTTCACTTCTATACTCTGTATAGGAATATTTTACTTGGTTTAATAATGATAAGTAGAGGCTAGTGGACTATGATAGTAAATTAGTTTCTGACAAAGTATTCTACACTTAAAAAAAGCTGTCACAAAGGGTTCTTTGGGTGATGCCATAGAAGGACTACTTTTGGTTCCCTTAAGAACCTTCACATAATATAATAGTTATTTACCAAATATTTACCAAAAGTGGCATTTCACAAAGAATCCTGTCTGGCAGGATATGTCCTTTGCAGGATATGTTTTAATAATAAATCCTTGACCTTTGAACCAACAAGAATACTCTTGTCCCCACCAGTTTACGGCAGTTTATTAGATTAGTTCAGGCAGTCATTACACAATGTGTATGTGTGCTGCACAAGAACGATTTAATCAGCATTAAACATGGTGGTTGTGGCGAGACGTCCTCTACTTGTCACTAGAATTATACTATATAAAACAAGTACTAAAGTATGGCAGTTAAGTGCTAACTTAAGGTTGTCAAAGTTTGTTAGACATGTTGAGAAAAGGAAAGGAAGGGGAAAAGGCTGACCAATGGACAAGAAGGTCATTGAATGAATGTGAATGAGGCTTTACTGGCAGTAATATAGTGGATCTAGTGTAAGGCACTTACACACACACACACACACACACACACACTGGAATTACCTATGCAATGTTTTGGGCCTCTTTGTACATAGAAAGTCTCTGATAAGATTGCTGCATCCTCAAGGGCTCCCAGTATAAAACTAAAAGACATTCACACACACACATGTACAGAAAGGACTTATCAAGAGGACGGTGTCAAAAAGAGTTACACATGTTATACTTCAGTCAGCCTCCTGCTTCACCATGAATGGACTGTGTGTTTGATTATGGCTAGTTGGATCTGAGCCATTCTGCAGCTGCTGCTTCATAATTTATTGGGCTTCTGTTTGAAAATTGAGATGTAGGTCATGTGAGTAGGTGAGGGTGTCTTTTTGTATTTTGTTGTCTTTTAATGATGCTGATATTCTATTTAATGGTAGTATGTATCTCTAAGCCATAATATTAGATTTAGATAACCTTATTGAGATCCTGTGAGATGTTTTAAAATGTTTTTATATGATACTTATTGTGTTTATAAGTGGCTCTCAGCATATGCAGTGCAGTTCAGGAATAATTAGCACTTAAACTAAACTAAATATATTTCTTTAATTAAGGATAGCATCCTTAATTTAAGAAATATACCTATATTTGATGAACCATGTAGAAATAATTGCACTTTTATATTCCTCAGTCTAGGGCACCGTAAGTAACTGAAAAAATTAACATAATCTTAAATAAATTGTCACGTTCAGTACTTGGTTGCAAATCCCTCATGATGCAACCCCACAGACATCACCAGACACTGGGTATCTTCCCTCTGCCAGTCCTGTAATGCACTCACTCATTTCAGTTCCTATTTATTTTGGTGGCTTCAGTTTTTTCTTCAGTAAGTGAAATGTTTGTCCAGTAGGATTCAGTTTGAGTCACTTGACATGGCAATTGACTGCTTTACTAATATCAACCCTTCCTTGTTTCTTATGTTGAGAGTTAATAGCCGCAGACCCAATAAATCTGCAAATTTCTTACCTAAGATTAGCTTGTTTTGACATTTTGTTAGCTCTCTGTGTACATTAATGATGCAGTGAGTCACCAAGAAAGAACTAAGCACTACTGTATAATGTCAGTTCATGGGGGGCAATCATAACAGAAGCACATGATGTGGCCTAGATATGCGCAATATTTTGAAGCTTGCCAAAGAGCATGGGAAGGCTCATCTTGTACTCACAGTGAGTGCCGGGGGGGGGAAAGAGAGAGAAAGAGTGAGAGAGAGAGAGAGAGAGAGAGAGAAGAAGTTTGCCTTACTGGACTGCTTGACACACTCTGAAAGTGTGGAAACTTGATCTTACTGAATGGTTGCCCTGCTAAGCCTCTCAGCACAACATAGCGCTGTTCCCGTGATACCTCACTGCAAACATGCAGTCCCACCACCTTCAGTACACTCTTTTATTACTCTCTCACTACTCATTTTCTGAGTTGTTTTATGTTGTACTTTTTAATAATCACATACTCTCATACAATCTTTAATCTTTGCTAGTAAGAGATGCTGACAAGTCTTCAGAGTAGACATATATAGAGAAAGACAGAGAATATGAATAAGACTTAGGACTTCATGATATGGACATAATATTATACTGTGATTACACTAATACATATTACTACAGTGATATTTACCATTTATTGCATTATATTAAAACTCTCCGGTAAAGCATTAATGTCACGTGGCGTTCTTTGGACCAAAATTATTTGTTTGGTGGATCATGTGAATTCCTTAATTCATCACATCATGCACAGAACACTCACCAGAAACATCTGAGGTTGGTCAGGGTGCTGACAGCACACAATTAAAATGTGCTGATTTGTTATAGGGTTCATCCATGTATTGCAACATTTGCGATGTCAGTACTGTAAAGGCCAATTACTTTAAACAAATGATACATTATACCTTCCCAATGAGCCCTTTCTTCTGTGGAAAGCTTCTGCTCTTTGTCTCAGTCTCAGTGTTTGTCAACAGAGACGTGCCATTGAGGAGGCGTAACTGTAACCTGACTTCTCTTTTGCCCTTTTTCTCATTCAGCCTTAGCTGCAGAACTTTGCCAGCAAAACACTGAGCTCACTGCCACCTGCAGGACAAATCTGGCCACGACATTAAACGTAATTTTAGCATAGCTTGTAGCTCACCAAAAAAAGCTGTTTCAAGACAGTACCTTAAAATGGTTCTTACACATAATCAATCAGTTAGTTATCAAGCCCATCATTATCTGAATCTGTCCAGTGTTTTGATATTATAGAACTGAATTTGGGCAAGGGTGAATATTATTTAGAGGGAAAAATACAATCAGGTGGGTATCATATAAGTATGCATTGCTAGACCATTGAGGCACTTTATAAGAACTGTGTGTGTGTTTTTGTGTGTTGTAGATCATTGAGAGCTTCTACAATGAGACATGGTTTGACCGGTATAAGGAGCCCATCACTGAAACCGCCCTCACATCATTGTGGTCTATCTCAGTGGCCATCTTCTCTGTGGGAGGAATCTTTGGCTCCTTCTCTGTTGGACTTTTCGTCAATCGTTTTGGAAGGTAAACCTCAGAGGCACTGCTAACCAATTGCTACAATTAAAGCATTTAGTAGTATATGATGTCTTGAGTTAATGTCTTGACTATTGGTGAAAGCATACATGAATTTAATACTTCTTCAAAAATTAAAAGAAATGTGCATTCTTACTCATTCTTTCTTTCTCTTCTTTTTTCTGTCTGCCTGTGTTTCTGCAGGAAGAACTCAATGCTCTTTGCCAATATTCTAGCCTTCATTTCAGCAGCACTGATGGGTTTCTCTAAGATGGGGGCTTCATGGGAAATGCTGATTATTGGACGGTTTGTGGTGGGACTCTACTCTGGTCTCTCCACTGGCTTCGTGCCCATGTATGTGGGTGAGGTGGCCCCAACCGCTCTCCGAGGAGCCTTGGGCACTCTGCATCAGCTAGGCATTGTCATTGGCATCCTTGTGGCCCAGGTGTGCTTTAGACATTGTTTTACTCCTTATTCGAACTCAAGTATAAACACTTGTTTTATCCTTTCATTCTAAACATGTTTATGACATAGTTGTCATGGAAGAATAACATGTGAGAAACTGTATGGGAAGAAGACCTAGATGAGAAAATACGCTGCTTCTTTCACAGCACAACACAAAGTTCTTTAATTTGATGTTGTTTGTAGCTGATGTTGATGGTGTGAGCTAGTTACTACAAGTTGTTGCCACAAATAGGAAAACTATACTGTGTTTGTGTGTGGTGCAGGTGTTCGGCCTGGATATGATCATGGGCAACGCTGCTCTTTGGCCTTTCCTGCTGAGCTTCACCTTCATCCCAGCCCTACTGCAGTGCGTCCTGCTGCCCATGTGCCCTGAGAGCCCCCGCTATCTCCTCATTAACCGCAACGAGGAGAGCAAAGCAAAATCAGGTCAGCACTCACACATACATACACGCCTATCAGCCCAACACTTGAATGATCGAATTTGCTGCTATAAAACTCCTTTTTTACTGGAGCAGCAAGGAACAGTACCAAATCTTCTGTTCAGAGCAGCTGCAGGTTTAGTTGTACTTGGTTATTGTGCTATTTGTCCTGCTAAATTCTGTTGAATTAAATGAGGCCAGAATCATTCAGGCCCTATTTTGTAAGATAGCAATAGCTTTATAACTTTTTTTTTGTGTGAGTAGTGTTGAAAAAGCTGCGTGGGACCACAGATGTGAGTGCGGACATGCAGGAGATGAAGGAGGAGAGCAGGCAGATGATGAGCGAAAAGAAAGTGACCATTGCAGAGTTGTTCCGCTCCCCAATCTACCGCCAGCCTTTGGTCATTGCCATTGTACTGCAGCTGTCCCAGCAGCTGTCTGGCATCAATGCTGTAAGAACAAACACACATATACACACACATTTTAGAATCCTGTTTATTAGCTCATTCTGCAGTTTTGTTGCTTTTTAAGGTCATAAACATGTGAGGTCATGTAATTTGTATGTCAGTAAAATAGGCCTATGATGAAAAATAGGGAAAAAAATAGCCATCTCAATACAGCTCAAAAAATTATCACATTTTTTCTTGAGAAATCTGCTATTTGAGTTGATTCCCACTCATATTTGGCTGCAGAATGCTATTGTAACAGTTATCTTAGTACATAGGCTTGACAGTGTTATTTATGTGTGCAGGTGTTCTACTACTCAACTTCAATCTTTGCGAAAGCTGGAGTGGAGCAGCCTGTCTATGCAACTATCGGAGCCGGAGTTGTCAATACTGCTTTCACTGTGGTGTCGGTAAGTCACACGCCAACATTTCTAGTCCATCCACTAGATAGAATAGAATATGAAAACTATATTGCCTTAGTATTGTGGGTATAATGTCTGCTTTTCCTTTCTCTCCTGTAGTTGTTTTTAGTGGAGAGAGCTGGGCGCAGGTCTCTGCATCTAATAGGTCTCCTTGGCATGGCTGCATCTGCTATTCTGATGACAATAGCCCTAGCCCTCCTGGTATGTTCCCACATTCAAATGTGATTGTATCTCCCTTAACACTTTTTGTCTCATCACTGTTTATTTTTTTATCTTGTGCTGTCTTATCGTGATAGTTCATGTATTATGAGGGGTTATTTACGCTGGTGTGTGTCCCTCTCACAGACCCAGGTGGAGTGGATGTCATATGTGAGCATTGTTGCTATTTTCGCCTTTGTGGCTTTCTTTGAAATTGGGCCAGGTCCAATTCCCTGGTTCATCGTGGCAGAGCTGTTCAGTCAAGGTCCCCGGCCTTCTGCTTTTGCCATCGCTGGGTTCTCCAACTGGACAGCCAACTTTATTGTGGGAATGTGCTTCCAGTATGTGGAGGTGAGACGCCAGCAGACAGACATCATTATATTTGATCTGGCTTTTTTATCATGTGTAGTTTGATGGTCATTTGTAGACTTAGAAACTACATGAACCTCTAAAACAATTTCTCTCTCTCTCTTTCTAACAGCGTCTTTGCGGCCCATACGTCTTCATCATCTTCACCATACTGTTAGTGATCTTCTTCATATTCACGTACTTCAAGGTTCCTGAGACAAAGGGGCGGACATTTGACGAGATCTCCGCCGGTTTCTCCCAGCAAGCAGCCGCAAGGGCGGGGAAACATTCGCCTGAGGAGCTCAACAGTCTGGGGGCTGATTCTCAGCTCTGAACCCTGCCTCCAAGCCCATCTCCTTCATTCCCTGGCACTCATTTACAAAACTACTGAGAGAGGGGAGCGCTGACGGTCAATTAAACACATTTTCCTTCTCCTGACTGCACCTGCCTCGCAGGTTTGCAGTGCTTCAGTGCTTCTGCGCCCCCTTTCCATGCAGAGACAATTTGAGCGTTGGGATATACTGAAAGGTGGGAAGTAGGCTGGGAAGAAGTTATGAGATTTTCTTTTAGACAAGAGAATGTTGTCAGCCTTGTTTTATGTGTACATGAATGCGTCTTTTATTTTTTCACTTTTATGTCTGTTACTTTGTGCAAATTCATGTTTTTAAATGCGGTTAGTCGTTCCTGGTCTCTCAAGCTGCAATGCCACCAACTTAATTTTAACAAAGACTTTTGGCTTCCATCATGATAATTTTAAACCGTTTTAAATTTCAAGTATTTTTCTCTAGTGGTCAGCAAGTCTGGAAGTCTTTTATGCTTTCGTTTCTCACTCGGAGCTCGATATAAGACTACATTGTTATTTTTATTTTTCTTTATCTTGCATGTCAGTTTAGCTCACCTGAAAGCTCTATTTATTGCACAAATTATTTTTGTATACTACAGGATAAATTGGACAAATTTTTATTCAAGGATGAATTTTAAAAAGCTGTTTTACTCATACATTTAGAAAGGTATTTACATTTTTACAAATAGTTTCATTTGCTGTCTCCAAAAACAAAAAATTCTTTGGCGTGCACTGAGAAAAAAGAGAACATTTCCAAATGATTGAGATCAATTCTTTCATGGTATGTCAGCAATATTACACAATACCACAGTACAAGAGAACGCACACTGTATAGTTCATAAGGAATTTAGCAAGGGTGAACTTTATCATCAATACATAACCAACAAATAAATTTAGTACTAATGAACTCCACACTGATTCTAGAGGAATAGTTAAATATTGAGGCAATACAGGATGTACATGCAAGCAGACCTACACATACTTTAGTTCACTGGAATCAGCATGTTGACAACTCTAGAATTCCTTCTTTTTATGGTTTATGGCTTTAGAAACAGGCCATCTGAGGCTTTAGGCCTGCCTAGCCGTGACTATGTTCCCATAAACTCAAATCCACCCAGATAAAAAATGAAATATATTGCATTATTATCAAATCAGAATCAACTTTGATCAGAATCATAGAATCAGGAGCTGGATGTAGTCACATGCTGATGACATCTGTCTGGTGTTCGCGAATCCAAGACAGCTTTTTCTATGCAGATACTGATCGTTGTAGTATAATGCTCTCTATCTGTGTGGGGTTTTTATACTGTACCTGCTTTCTGAAACCTGCTGTATGAGCTCAGTTGTTCGGTCTTTTTCTGCAGCACTTTATCACACATATACCTTCTGTAATCTTCTTAATCACACCTAATAGCACCTGCATTCTCAAGGTTTGTTAGAAAGCAAAAAAAATCCCAGTTGTTACTGTAGAAAGACTGAAATACGATGACGTTATCGCTTTCGGCATGACGTCACACGCGACTGCATGCGCCCATCCCCTGCCTCGTAACACTCATTATTTTTGATGCGTATGGTTTCAGGCATGAAAAAAAGATGACTCATAATGAGTTCTGAATTCATTATCAAATCTTGCATGGCCAGTTTCAAGGACAAATGGCATTTTTGTGAAATAGGGGGCTTGCAGCATAATTAGCAAATACATCACCCCAAAGCATTCCACAGAGAGTTGGGAGCATACATTGAGAGTGTTTGTGAGCGAGGATGTGTGTGGGTGTAGAAGCGCGTACATGCGCATGAGTGTATGTATCTGTCCCCATTGCACATGTAAAGCACTGTACCATATCAGAGTAGTGTTGCCACCAAAGTCACACCTATAGTTTGCATGTAAAAAGGCATCTGTTACTATTTGCACCTGAATCAGAACACCTAACAACACTGGAGTGTGATGTAAATCTATTTTAAGCACTCTGTGAAACACACAAACACATGCATACACAGGGTGAGCTCTTCATTGCCTTAATAAAACGTTGTGTCCATGACAGTGTAAATAAATGTAAAAATAGAAGCGAAAGTAAACTGTATAACAATGTTTGCAAAAATGTAGTCTGATACGATTTATGTTAGCTGTTGTACATCTGTATTTTTTCCATGTAAGATGCACTCTTGCCTTTATTCCTTAAGATACATTGTTCTATTGTAGTCAGTACTGTAAATGTAGGTTTAAATTTCACTTTGTATTTGTTTACTGGTTAAAAAAACATTGTATTTATTAGTTTTCCTAATTTATTTAGTTGTTGTCTTTGATTTTACCATTACATTTAATAAAATAGCTATTAAAAACTCTTTGTGTGGTAGTGAATAAGGTTTTCTGCCATTCTGCTCACTTTATAAGAGGTTGAGGATTCCGACTCTACCCATGTCGTTGCCCACCCGTGGGGAAAATCTTGTTGAGTCCTGCAGTTAAAACCCTCTTTGGTCTTTCTCCATGGAGGCAAACAGCGCTGCGTGTTGTTGCACTCTGGGCAGGCTTGCTGCTTATCTAACAATAACCTTATCAGGCCTGATTGACTGGCAGGCAGACAGGTTCTGGTCTGGAAGTGTTTCCAAAATGTCAGCCGGATTCCCTGCATAGCCACAGTTTGGCAGCATTCAGCACAGCATTGGGTTTGCCTGAAGTTCTTTGCTTGTCCTCAAGGTGGCAGTGTTTGCACAGATTGTTCTCCAAATCTTTCAGAACACTGATCAGTTTCTTGAACCTTCCTAACCAAGCTGTCCAAACATTTTGCTGTTCATTAGTTTGTTCCAGGCAGTAATAATGAAGAAGGTCTGCTATGATATAAATCTTTAATTAATTTAAATCTGTAATTATGATGCTGGATCTGGACGATCATTTAGGCCTGCTGATTCGAAATGGCTAGTAGATACACAGTCACAGCTGGATACTGGACAGCTGGTTCAGAGACTAATGTGCAGGTATACTTTATTATCATAACAGTAACATACCTTCTAACAAAACACTGTTGTAAAACACATTTCAACACCTGTGATTTAAGAACAGGAAAGTAGTGACCTCTTTGTATCTAGGCTTCCAGAAATGAATTGGCTTTCTTTTTAAGATTAACATAAATAAAATGGTTTTAAAACTACATCATGGCTTCAGGGAGTGAGCAGTGAACCTAAAAGTCTGAGCAACTGTAGCAGGCTGTGATCAGAATATTGGCCTTGTCAGTGCTGAATAAAGATGGGGTCAATCAGACTTTATGGAGTAGGCTTGTTTACGCCAACAGGCACAACTGAAAGATCAATATGACTACAGTGTAAGATATCCACCACAGAGAAGACTTACAGGAACAGTTTGGCAAAAAAAAACTTCAGATATAGGTATTCAGCCAAGAGTTGCTTGTCTGGTATTGGGCACTGTATGAAATACTGTAATGTAAAAAAGTGCGTTGCATAGTTAAAACAGTCATCTTGAAGACTGAATTTTGCTTGCCATTTTATAGATTACCGTACATCATAAAGTGTCAGAAACCATGCAAGTGTGTTAATTCCACCAGTTTTTCACAATTTTGCATAATTACATTTTTAAGATGTGAACAAAGCTATTCATACTGGTTTGATGTGAAATGCAGTGTTCCACAGAAACTTGCAGAGTCAGAATTGTTTACAGTGGTGCTGATAGGAACCAGAGACCCACAGAGTCTAATGCCTCCAAAAGCTGCCTCACAGAAAGTTGTTACATGAAATGGTTATGAATGCCTGAAACATTGTTTAACGGTAGTTACTTTAAAAGCTGTTCATTGTGCATACGTACATGCAGGGTCTTGTAAGGCAAAATATTCCCAAGAGAAACCTTTTTTTTCAGATTTTCCACTATTTTCCCATCATCGACATTACACATAAAACTCGTATAGGTTCACTGGGCATTTTGCACGATAAATAAAATGACTACGTTTGTATTGTAGATGTTGCGATCCTTGGTTCATATTACCACCACTGTAAGATAAGATAAGATAATCCTTTATTAGTCCCACAACGGGGAAATTCTCAGTGTTACAGCAGCAAAGGGAGAGCGAGGCACTCAAGAAAAAGAAAAGAAGTAACAAGAAGAGAATTAACAAGCAAGTAATTAACTTTGTTAAGTACTTAAGGTTTTTTACAGTTTGTTACTTGTTACTATATAGACAATGTATATAATACTAAAAGTGAAAAATAAGATAAAAACTCTATCCTTCACAAAAAAAATAACAATATAAAGAATTATAAATAAATAAAAAGCTAAGATATTTACACTGTAAGGATATTTTGCCCGAAATTCACATGGAGCATTGAGATAGAGCTAAAGAAATGGAGCTAGTTTAGCTGGTCTGGGGCTGGTTTAGCTGGTCTGGGCCTAGTTTAGCTGGACTGGTGCTAGTCTGGAGCTAGTTTATCTGGTCTGATGCTAGACTGGGGCTGGTTTAGCTGGTCTGGTGCTGGTCTGGGGCTAGTTTAGCTGGTCTGGTGCTAAACTGGGGCTGGTTTAGCTGGTCTGGTGCTGGTCTGGGGCTAGTTTAGCTGGTCTAGTGTTGGTCTGGTGCTGGTCTGGTGCTGGTTTAGCTGGTCTAGCGCTGGTCTGGTGCTGGTCTGGTGCTAGTTTAGCTGGTCTGGTGCTGGTCTGGGGCTGCTTTAACTTGTCTGATGCTGGTCTGGTGCTGGTCTGGGGCTGCTTTAACTTGTCTGATGCTGGTCTGGGGCTGGTTTAGCTGGTCTGGTGCTGGTCTGGGGCTGGTTTAGCTGGTTACTCTGCATGGTCATGCTATTTGACTAGTGTACCACCTTCTGAAACACAACATAAGTTAGTTTTGCTGGTGAGCACCGATGCTAATTTATGCTGTTTTTTTCAGCACAGTGGTCAGTAAATTTCTCTACAATGCACCATTTTAAAGAGGGACATATTCTTTAGCACCACCTTACAAACAGGAGGATAATAAGGTAAAAAAAAATAAATAAATAAAAAGGAAAGTTAAAAAATAAGAGAAATTCATGTAGCCAAGTGCATAGAATTAAAACTTGTTTAACCACTTCTAATTTGGTCTATCATGTTGATTTCTTTGAGCACAATGCTAGTTCACTACCAGGGTCGTTCTTATTGAGGCATGTCTAATGCAATCACTGCAGCAGATGTGCCGTCACTATCACACATCCTGCTATTTCTCTCTCTCCTCTCTCTCTGTCCCTCTCTCTCTAATGCTGTGTCTGCCTGAGTAAATGATCTGAGGTTAAGTGAGCTATCAGCTCTAATGCTGTCTGGAAGAAACGGGGGCTTTGTTTGAAACCCCTCTCTCTCCCTCTCTCGCGTGCCGGAAACAGTGGAGAAAATTGGGTTCCAATTTCAAGCGCCTTAGATGGACAATAGACCATAGATCAGATGCTGACCTTTTAGGGAGGAAACACACTGAGAGCGGTCAGGGAAATGCACTGATTCATTCAGACAGCTGTTGCAAATTGTAGTGTGGCGCTATGATGAGAGCTTGGACGTTGTATGAGAGTTCTATAAATATACAAGCTGTATTTTTAGATTTTTCTTTTTCCACTTCGATTATGAAACACGTTCTGCAGTGATCATCCTCAATGCTTTGAAAAAGGCAAAGCTGCATGTTACTTTAATCGTGTGAAAGTTTGACTTGTGTACAATAACTTCAGCAACAAGGTCAAAAGTTTGAGGACACTTTGTCTTCTTTTTAAATGTAAAGATTCTCACTTTGAAGGGTGGCTTAGCATAAAACAATTATTTGCTAATATTCTGGATATAGACTATATGACCAAAAGTATGTGGACACCCCGTCATTATTGAGTTCAGGTGTTTCAGTCGTACTCATTGCTAACAGGTGTATAAAATCCAGCGCATAGCCTTGCAGTCTTGATATACAAACACTGGCAGTGGAATGGGTCATTCTGAAGAACTCAGTGACTTTAAACATGGCACTATCACAGGAGGTCACTTTTGCCACAAGTGAGTTCAAGAAATTTCTGCCCTGCTAGATCTGCCCCTGTCAACTGTAAGTGCTATTATTGTGAAATGGAAGCGTCTAGGAGCAACAACAGCTCAGCCCCAAATTGGGAGACTTTGTGTTTTCACTAAATGGGCACAAATTCACACAGACACAGTGCAAAATATTGTGGAAAGGCAATTATAGATGTAAAGGGGTGTCAACTCCATATTAATGCCATAGTTTTGGAGTGGGATATCCAACAAGCTCACATAGGTGTGATGGTCAGGTGTTCATGAACTTTTAGCCATATAGTGTGCTTTGTAGTTTCACTTTCATCATTCTGGATGTATTCTGGATATGAAGAGTATGATTTGCCTAAGTCATGATATGACTATGATTTTAAAGAGATGATTTAACATTAAGGAGGGGTGTAAATTAGCCCAAATGATGTCTGATGCCGTAGTATGCTCTGACCCCATGCCAGTTCAACATAACGATGAAATCTCCAGCAGTCTACGGTCACTAAACCGCTGGTTGTCCAAATGGCGCTGAGAAAACTTTTTGAGTACTATTTTGCCTTTTAAACACCCTACACGTACCACTCTACCA